AAAATCTATAAAACTGCTGAAAGAAATCAGAATTTCAGCAAATTTCAGTTTTTTTCCCAGGCTGCTCCTTTTGATCAACTACGGGGAGAGGGGGAAAAAGCCAGTCGTGCATGAATTCCATCTGTTATTATAGCATGGTATGAGTGTGGCTGGAGGAGGAATATAGGATAGAGTGATATTGGAGCTGTGATATTGACGAAGTAGAAATGGAGAATGATGCCAGTGATAAAGACAAAGCTGTCATAATCAATTAGCATTTAACTTTTTGTAAAGATCTTGGAGGCAATGAGTTCTTTAGATTTTAGTGTGCATCTTCAAAGTAATTTTGTAAGCTATTTAAATGATGCCCCCTTTTTACAACTCTACATAATTTGATTATACAAACCATCCTCCAATCTTTGGATATGCAAATGCAGCATCAAAATGATTTTTTTCTGTATTTTGATAGAATCAGATGTTCACTGCAGTGATAAGAAGTGACACAGATTACAGCAGAGCACCAATAACCCATTCATCTGGTGCACTGAGGCTGTTGAGATTTCTTATGACTGCTTTTTGAGAATCACTCTTAAGAATAAACATTTGGAAACCAAAGACAGGTCAGTGATTGAGGTTTGGAGTCAACCTACCTTGGATCTAATCCTAGGGCCACCAGGATGCTGAATTTGCAAATTAAACTCTCAGAGCCTGTTTTCTCACATGTAAAAGGGAATAATAAGATGTAACTCACAGAAATGTTATAATTTTAGTAATTAAAGTGAAAACAGCTGGCAGAACACGGAGACGACCCTCAAATGGCAGCAGCTGCTATCATGGGGCTAATACTACTATTATTATGACTATTAATAAAATCTGGATTATTCCTTTGGCAAAGTTATTTTTCAAGCAAGAATCGAGTGACGTAGTGAGGCTGTGATTATGCCCATGGCTGAGTTTCATAGGAGATCTTAGAAGAGAGGACAATTGGGATGCTTCCTGGAGGAGTCGTCACCAGAAAGTACCAGCCTAGAACGGCAGATCGTCCATTCAGTCAACATTTCTTCAACTCCTTCTATGGGTCAGATATTGTGCTAAGTGCTCAGGATTTAAGAATATAGATTTGGAGGCATAATCCTTGACCTCTAAGAGTTCACGGTCTAATTGGTGCAGAGAGGAGACAAACAATTACACTGCCATAGCATAAACACCAAATAGGGGTGCAAATCTCTAAGGTTCAGGATCAGCAGAGAGAAGACATCTAGTTCTGCCTGGGGCAGTTCCAGAAGGCTTCAAGGTGGAGATGATGTTTGAGTTGAGGCATGAAAGATGAGAAAGTTTGCTAGACAAATGAGTGTCAAGAAGTCCATTCCTGTTACATCAGTGGTTATCAAACGGGTGCCATTTTGCTCCCCAGGGGACATTTGGCAATGTCTGGAGACATTTTTGATTGTGACGACTTGGGGGTGTTACTGGCCTCTAGTGGGGTAGAGGCCAGCTAGGGATGCTGCTACAATGTACGAAGAGCCCCTCCAAACAAAGACTCATCCAGCCCCAAATGTCAACAGTGGCCAGGTTGAAACACCCTGAGCTGAGGGCACCATGTGAGCAGGCACATGGGGGACGAGTGCACAGTGTGTCTGGGAAATCCCAAGTGATTCAGTATGGCCTTGCGTCCTTAGGGTAGAGGAAGAGGAGTCTGGACGTGTAGGTAGGAGTCAAATCGTGAAGGACCTTGCAGGCCATCATGAGCTAAGGTTTGATCCTGTTTTGGGGCTCCTTAAACTTCCCCTTTAATAGCCCCATTGTTAAAGGACACTAAACTCAGTTCCCCATTTTGGGAAGCAATAGCTTGAAAGAGCCAGAGTTCCGGTATTATCCTCAAAAGTCAAATAAATTTTGTTTCTTTTCCTAACTGAAGTAAAAAACAATGATGGGGTCTTTTTCCCCTAGAAATTTAAAACCAGTACTTCAGGAAGACCTCCCTTATGTGTAGTCCAGGATGAGAAACACGAATGGGCAGGGCAAGCCCGGAAGAATTTTGAACAAGGAGATGACAGGAGCAGATGTGTGGCTTTGAGTCCCTGTGTCACAAAGGGCTGCACCAGAGTGGGTGATGTCCCCTAAGTACTGATTCATGACCTTTGCCATTGAGATCCAAGGTCAAAGCTAGTTTTGTCTGCCAGCAGCAGTGTGCACCGAGGAGCAGGGTCCATTAATAAAAAGAGCACTGGACTGAGACACCAGGAACTTCTCAAGGCTCTGGCTCTGCCACTCGTAAGCTGTGTGACCCAAAGAAAATCACTTCATCTCTCTGGTCCCAGGTGACAAGAGTAACCAAGGTGAGGAGAGCCCTGACATTCTGTGCCTCTTGGCAGTACAGTAAGCCTCTCTGCCAGGTGCTCAAGCAGTGGTGTGATCTGGGAAGTCAGCCGAGTCCTGGCTGGGCCCACATACCAAACACAGCACAATTATGGGCCTGGGGGGGCTCAGTGGAATTTAGTAGCAGTGAGTTTAATTTTCCACTTTCATAACTTCGTTCCTTTGAGTGTTGAGAACTCTTTGGCCTTCAAGAGTCCCTTATTATTACACAAATCTCCCGAATCCCTTATCAGCTGACATCTTAGGCTTCAGAGAACCGTCGAGCACGTATTCCCAGGAATGAGACTTAGGAGAACAGGAGAGAGAAGCCAGCTCGTGTTACAAGAGTACAAATACCGTTAATGTCGTTTCAAACATATTGACTTCCCTGTTTATTTAGGTAAGGCTCTGTCTCTCTGGAGTTGACAAGCATTTTACCCAACTGGAAATGGGGGCTGGCCCGGCGGCGCAAGCGGTTAAGTGCACACGCCCTGCTTCGGCAGCCTTGGGTTTGCAGGTTCGGGTCCCGGGCGCGCACCAACGAACTGCTTGTCGAGCCATGCTGTGGCAGAGTCCCATATAAAGTGGAGGAAGATGGGCACAGATGTTAGCCCAGGGCCAATCTTCCTCAGCAAAAAGAGGAGGATTGGCATGGATGTTAGCTCAGGGCTGATCTTCCTCACAAAAAAAAAAACAAAAAAAAAAAACTGGAAATGGATCTTTTCTATCTGTCCAAAGGGCCGCAGTTGAACAAAAGGCACATGAAGAGAGAGGAGAGTCACGGAGCCTCACTTCCAGGCACAGGGTCACAAGGCTCTGAAATGCCTTCCTTGTTCTCCACGCAGTCTTGACTAACTCCTGAACTCCTCCAGCCTGTGTCCTCAGCTGTAAACTAAGAGGGTGAAAGAGATGGCCTCCACACCTCCTTCAGCTTTTGTGACTATGAGGGTGAGCCAGTGGCTCTGGGCTGGCTCTTGGTGAAAGCTGGGGATAGAAACTCTACGAAGTAAATAAAAGGCCGGTGAAGCAGTGAAGTGCAACTGAGGGCTGCCCTGTGGGCATCGCCGGGTTGGAAGTGCTGCTACTACTCAATAAATAATTGCCCCACAGTATTGGGGCAATAAGGACTAAGAATGGCCCCAAACTGAAAATTGTCCCTTTGAAGGAGGAAACCAGAGAGCCTGTGGGGAGGGCGCAGAGTGAGGGCCCAGGAGGAGGAGGAGCCAAAGCAGGGGACTGTAAGACTGGCAGGTGCTGCTGGGACCTCAGGCCGCGAATCCTGGTGTGGTTTGGGAGGATGGACTGATCACGTAGGGATTGCTCCTTGACCCAGCACTTGTGAAATACATTCTTCTCTTTCCATCCTCATTTTGCTGTAGTTATTCTTCAAGTACGAATCACATAGTCATATCAAGGGCAGTTTTTTAGGGAAGTCCACGTGGCCACCTGAGTGTGCTGTTTCATGTCATTTGTGTGTGCGTGAGCTCCTCCAGCATCCACTCCCCAGCCCCTTCCACTGGATCTGTTGGTTGGTTTGTCCTGCAGCCACAACCTCAGAGTAACCCCCCATGGACTATCCAGGCGCCTGGTTCTCACGGGAATGAAGCTCGAGTCCTGTGTCCTTGGGCGACTGGACCTGGGGTTAAGAGGCTGGGGTGATACAAGCACAGGCTGGTGGCAGAAAGTGCCTACAAGTGACGCCCTGAGAGGGATCCAGGAGGTCAGAGACATATTGACAGACTTTTTATCATTTTTTTGAGCATTAAAAACTTAGATTTGTTATATATGAAATATTCATAAATTAGCCCAATTTCACATTTTTATTGATTGATGCAGAGAAATATGTGTCTTAGCAATACAAGTCATGGATACCATAAAAAGATATTTTTTTGAGAATTGTCTTTGAGATATCAGACCGCATCTCATCTCCACGGGCTGTTACTTCATTCGCTCCTGAGAACAAAGCCCACTGAGGCCCCACGGCACACCCCAGCTCACTCAGTCTCAGGGCCAGGGCTGAGCCTCCTCCCAGTGGGGGAATTTAGCACCAGACCCCCTAGGGAGCTAGAAGCCCCAATGTTGAGTCTGGGTCCCAAGGCCAGTTCTCAGGCTCCTGTCCTGCCCATCAGACCTGGATCTGGTGCGCCAGGGTTGCCTGTATGGCCAGCTGTCCCGGCAGCCGTGCTGCCCTGTGCCTCATCAGAGCCAGAACACTGTGACTACATGCCAGTGCCGGACGCCCTTCTAATCCTCCCTACAGCCCCGTGAGGAGGCGCCATCGCTCCCCTACTTTCAGACGAGGACACAGAGGCACTGAGAGGGTAAGAAACTTGCTGAATCAGTTGTGGCAGAGCCAGGTTCCAAACTTGGGAGTCTTGCTGTGTAGCCCATGTTCTGAACCACCATGCAGCAGTTCCCCAAGTGCATCAGGGTGCATCAGGGCAAGCGGGATCCAAGGCCCTTCCAGAGGTCTCCAAAGTCAGAACTTCTTTCATAATAACACTAAGATGTTATGACCTTCTTCCCGCTTACTCTCAGGTATATACAGTGGAGTCTCCAGAGACTGCCTGAGGTGTGGTGACATCATCACTCTGACAACTACTGGCATGCGTGCTTGTGTTCCTGTGTCTTAAAAAGTCTCAGGTTTAATTGCTAGTAAGGCCAATATTGATTGATATAGGCCACTTGCGTCTCTTTGGGATTCTCAATAAATTTTAAGCATGTAAAGAGATCCTTAGACAAAATGGTTTGAAATCCACTGCTCTGAGCTAGGCCACCCCCAAGTCTGCTTCTTTGCTCCTGCTCTCGGGCCCCACCCAACCCTAGTCCAGCCACCGAGGCCTTGCACCCTTTGGCCACCCCCTGCCCACCTGTCGCAGACCCCAGTTGGGGTGACTTCTCCAGCTCACAGCTGCCATGCCTACACCATGGCTGATTATTCTCACACGTGATTGGGGCTAAATTCTTCCTTGGGAATGTGAAACTTGAAAGTGGAGAAAGACCAGATGTCAGGGGAGCAACAGTACATTAATGACAGAGTTCTAGAAAATGGCAGTGTCCAATGACAGCATCTGCTCTGGATTCTGTGTTGGTTCTTGAAGTGGATTGTTCAGCTCTTCTGTAAACTCTCTGAGCTACCCCAGTAGCTGTCAAATATTCTTTATCACTTAAGGTTGCTTGAAAAACCAGAAGCTTACCTAATATAAATTTAATATACCCTTCCTGGATTCCCCACTCCATCTACTTATTATAATCCACTAATTTACCTTTGGGCCCCATCACTCGTCTCCTGCCTGAAACTGCTGGGGGCCTTGCTCACTGAGGATCAGCTGGCGAGCTTCGGCACCATTCCAGACCTGCTGGCTCTAGTGGGTGGTCTCATCTCCTCATCTTCTTGCCTATCCCACAGCTCCTCAAAGGAAACATCATGCCTCAAGCTTCAGTGTTAAGATGGGACAAATGGAACCTATGATATGACTGGTCTAGGCACCCTTTGGAGTATCTTATTCCTTGCGTTCAAACCCCCACTGAGAAACCTGGGCATCTCTCTCTGGAGCAGCCCAACTGACTGGCACAATCCTCCCCCAGAAATATACTGGCCATTATGTAGCAAAAAAAAAAAAAATTAATTAAAAGAAAATTAACAAACATTAACATAACAGGAAAGATGCATGAATTCCACGTCAGACAATGAGTATTCCCCCTCTCCTATTTACCATCAGTAGTGTGTTGAATAGTGGCCCTCCAAAAGACATGTCCATGTCTTAACCCCAAGAAGCTGTGAATGTGATCTTATTTGGAAAAAGAGTCTTTGCAGATGTAATTAAATTAAGGATCTTGAGTTGAGATCACTTTGGAGTACCCGGGTGGGCCCTAAATCCAATGACAGGTATCCTTATAAGACACACAGAGGAGAGACAGAAGAGCGGAAGGTCATGTGAAGACGGCGGCAGAGATTGGAGTGATGCGGTCACAGCCAAGGAAAGCCTGCAGCCCCCAGAAGCTGGAAGAGGCAAGGAATGAAACCTCTCTTAGAACCTCTGGAGGAAGCACAGCCCTGATGACACCTTGACTTTGGATTTCTGCCCTCCAGAACTGTTCGAGACTAGATTTCTGTTGTTTTAAACCACCAAGTTGTGATAATTTGTTACAGCAGCCCTAGGAAACGAATCCACCACCTTAGATGGAGAGCCTATGATTTCAGGGACTCCCGCCTGCTGGCCCACCCTCTGATTCTAGGAGGTGCCCCCAAAGCACAATGCAGTGCTCCTGGCAGCTCTGGCTGTTCCACTGTTGTACTCACTCTCGGCCAACACACGGACGGTCCTGTCCCCTGCCTTCCCCACAGATTCTGGGTGGAGAAATCTCCTAATAAAGCAGTGCAAGAGGGACTGGCCAACGACGGCCGCTTCTCTGGCAGAAGGTGAAGCCCTTGCAATGAGGGGCTGTATGGAGGGCATCCTCATCCTGAACCTCTGCATACACAGAAGGGCAAACTTGTGTTACGCTCTTCATTTGACCTCGCACCATGTGGCTCTTCTTTCTCCACTCCCTTTCTTTTCAGTTGCCCCCTACCGGGTTTCTACATAAGAAACTATTGTCAAAGAAAGGATGCTTGGCTTGCTTAGCTCTCTCCAACCCTGTGTGCTTCCAGCACCCCCAGACTAGGTTGAGCATCTTTTAGGTCTCCACCACATGTTTGCTAACATGCCCTCTCTCCCACCCCACCCCTAGTTCTTCCCCATCTTTGTCCCACCAGACACAGGTACAAATGGGGACAATGCCACGTGCTGAGCCCTCCACACCCCTCCCTCATCCCAGGCGGAGTGCATTTAGGATGATTTCTAGGCACACAAGCTGGAGACTCACTTTCATATCCCCTCCGTATGTGCATGAAGGAGGTCAGAACTCAGGTTTCTGCCCTAGCTGACCAGAAGTCATTGACGCGGACATTCCTTGATGCCTGGGGACCCTAAAGACAAAGGCATTCTCGTTTTGTGTATGGGCGTATGTGTGTAGCTAAACATGCAGCACAAAAATTAAAATCCAAGTTTCCAAGGAAATGAGAGAAGCCAAAATTGTAAAAGGGGAAAATGAGAAACACTGGGCCTGTGGCAACTCAGGTGGGACTTCTGAATTTCCACTCTCAGCCACCGCTGGCATCACGGTCTGCTGCCCCTGTGTAATGGAATCTGAAAGTGCCTCCCAAGGAAAGGGCAGAGCACCCTGTTAGGTCTGAAAATGAATAATGATGAACCCCAGGCTCAGTCCTGGTTGGATAAAGATAAATAAAATTAAAATTCAGAAATTTGTTTTAAATGGGTTGTTAATTGCTGTTGAGCTTTAAATATTTGAGTTTATTAATTTCTCTCTCACCCCCTGAATTATATTTCAGCAACATTCCCCTGTTATTAGGCTATTAAATCAGACATATCAAAAAGGAAGCATTTATTTATATCTTCAGAGACATGTACATCTAATTAAGATAGTGTTACTGTGCATATTTTATATTAGGCAAATGCTGCCTTGATTTCAGTCTCTCATCAGCTCTGAAGGGCCCTAATAAGTGTTTGGAAGATTTGACTTGAGCTGGATGAGGAAGCATCCTGTATCTTTCTGAACAGTGATTTCTTAAGAACCTTCACCTTGAAGGAAATAGCTGTTCCTAGACATTGTAAAGTCCTCTCTTAAAGTGAAAGAATCCAAATGGCAACTTCCAGAAAACAAGAGATTTGAAAACTGGCTGCATTGCCAGAATGTGTTTTTGTTAATAAAAATAATAAAACTAGACAACATCTAGAGAGCACCTAATGCATCCCATAAGCTATTGATGAACATTCATTACTTCATGTAACCCTCACAACAGCCCAAGGGAGGAAGGAATATTTTTATCCCCATTTTACACATGAGCAAAACAGAGGCTTAAAGAGATTAAACAGTTTGCCTAAGAGGCAGAGTCAGGACTAAGACTAAAACTAAAGCTGGCCTGACTGGAGCCCATGCCTTTTCCACTTTGCTTCCCTTCAGGCCACGAAGAGTTCATCCATTCTAGAAAATTCCCAGCCAAGGTGTTATCATCCCTTCCCCCCTACAAGGCGATGAAAATTGATTCTTGGGGAGCAAAAAAGCACATTTTTTTTATAGATAAAGCACAAATATACAGACAGTACATAAATAAATAAACAGTATATCTGTGGTAGTAAAGCTTCATGGCAGAGGGCAATTAGGAAAAGATGTCTGAAAAGGCACATTAGGGAGATGACAATGAAAAAGGTTGAGAAATACTATTTTAGAGCAACTGCGGTAATATGCGGCCCCACACAGATCACTCACTTATCCTGTGCACAATGAGTATCACCATCCTGCATGTCTGTTACTACCGCTGTTTAATTCTTACAACTCAGATCAACTGAATGTGAGTGCACTGTTAGCTCACTGTAACAGTAGTGCTAAGCACCAATGTTGGGTTGCAAACATTCGTTTGGTCCTGATAAGTTTCTTATTTGATGAACTTTTGTCAAAAGACAATGAATTCCCATTTCTCAAGGACAATCATGTTCTCCATGTGAAGCCATTCCAAACTGTGGAAATGATCCTTTGATGCTCCTGTTTTGGGGCTTCTTGAGCCCAAGATTTGTGATTTTTTTTTCTGTAATGTTTTACAGGAAGGTAGGGGAGAAAGTATAAGTTTGGGTTATATCAGAAAAACTCAGGATTGAATCATGGTTCTATCCTTTCCAGTTCATGAGCCTTGGGACAAGATATTTACTCTCAAGTCTCTGTTTTCTCCATGGTAAACCCAGGTTCTTACTGTGTGTCAAGCATTTTACCCATATTTTACCCTAGACTTGCACTGTCCAATATGGTAGCCACTAGCCACATGTGACTATTTAAAATTAAACTCATTAAAAGTAAATAAAATTTGATATTTAATTCTTCACCAGAATAGCCACATTTCAAGTGCTCAATAGCCAAACGTGGTTACCAAGTGGACAAGGCAGATAAGGAACATTTCTATCACCAAAGAAATTTCTATCAGACAGCACTGTTCTAGAGACAGTAACACCAAGAAGACAGAACCTTGTCAGCAAATGGATGGTTACTTTCCATTTAACAAATTTTCAGTTCTCTTCAGAGAACCAACTTTGTGCAGACCTTGTTGTAAGCACAAGAGATAATCTGTGATCAAAACAAAGTTCCTACACTTAAGGAAGTGTTGCTAGTATTATTATTACCACAGGTTTTTGTGATTTCCTAATTAGGGAGCAATAGAGTAGTATATTGAGGAATATTAGTACGGAGTCAGAGCGACATAGCCTTGAGTCTGAGCTGTGTATATGGGTAAATTTACTTATTCTCTCTGAAACTTAGTTTCCTCATCTGTAAAATGGGTATACTAATAACTTCACACGATTATTTCGAAGATGAAATGAGGAAATGGGTTTAACACAATGTCTGGCACAGCAAGTGCTCAATAAATTATTGTTCTCCTAATTAAGATAAAAATCAGTCAGCTCCCCAAATTTCCAGGTTTTTCATATAATAGGATGTTTCCCCTGCTGTCTGGGATTTATTGGTTTGTTATTAAGGCTCAATCTCAGGATATTTCTAGAGGTTACTTGATGAAGTAATACTAAAGTCATGCTTAAAGTGCCATAGAGTTCCGTTTTTAATTCACATTTGAGAATTCATTGCTCACATAATAATCTTAACAACATTCTTGTTGGCATTGGTTGCTGTAATTACAGAATGTTGGAGCCTAAAAAGATGTTAGAGAAACTATAACTGCGTTCACCTGTTGTAAAAGTAAGACACATGAAACCCAGAGAGCAGGAGGGATGTGTCCAAAGTCACAGCTATTTAGTGGCAAAACAAGGACTAGAATGCTGGTCTCTAATCAGCATATACAGTGTGCTTAGCATTCCAAGAAATTTCCCTCCCTCCCTATCTCTTCGGCTGCTGCTCCACCTCCCAAAAGAAAATTACAATAAACTCTGATCATCCATCAGACGAGTATGTCTTCCTCTTCTCTGGACACCGAAGTGGGTGTTCATTCAAAATAACACGGCCTTTGAAGCCTGGAGAGAACTCGGGTGTCCATGGTAATCGGGGTAATCCACCCCCCATGGCAGCCTCGGTGGCCAGTGCCCGAGGGACTGCTTTAGCTCCCCTTGTTTTAGGTGCTGCTGTGTGTCTTTTGTTACCTCCTCATCACCTCACGATTCTCTCTCCAAAATGACAAGCCTGGAAGGGGAGTCGATGCTCTCCCTTGATGTTATTTTATCCCAAGCGTGCTAGGTACCATCTGAAAGGAGTGACTCCTCTCCTCTGGTCACTGGATAGAAAAGAATCTTGTGCTTCCAACCATTTTTAGTGACACACTCAAATTTTGATAGAAAGAGAATTAATGTTAAGAGAAATAACACATATAAATCCTTGGATACAAAGAAGGGAGTACAATCCTCAGCCAGAACTTTCCTACCAGAAAATGCAAGGCTTTACAAAAGTGATCAATTTCACTGGATGGGCAGTGAGGTTGTGAATAAGGAAGGCTTTTTTATAAAAAGCGCTTTTTCTTGTTTTCTTGTCCTCCAGAGTCCAAAACTTTTTTATATTCCCATTAGAAAGCTCAGAGAATGAAAATTATAGTCAACTCTGGATTATTCATGGGCCACCTGGATCCCTTCCATCTCCTGGCGCCAAGGTGGGTCTCCATCCAATTACATAGTTCAGGCGGTAAGGTTCAGGTGGTGAGGGAGGTGGGCTCCATCCCTTTCCTTCCTTCCTTTGCCTCCGGCAGTGGGAGGGAGGAAAGGAGGAAAAAAGAGCAGAGGAGAGAGAGAGAGACCTTTCCCCCGGAACTTGTGGAGAAAAGGGTACATCAGCATTTCAAAGCCGAAAAACAGAGGAAGATTTATTCAATCACCAAACGGTTGGAATAACTAATATGCGCAAACTTCGGCTAGCTATACATGTTTGATTTTTCTGTCAGAAATGTTTTTAAGGATTTAAACAATTTAGTGTCTGAGTAACAGGCACCAAGATAGTTTTGCCGTTGTCTGAGACAAGTATGTAGTTACAGATCACGGCATTGTAGAAGCGATTAGATTTTACTTGCGGGTTGAAAAATTTTCTTTTTTAAGGAGTATGGTTAGTTTTTATGATATGATTGAATTTGTAACAAAAAGCCTGGCCTTGCAATTGGATGCTGATTTAGATCATCATAAAGTGCTCATATTTCCTTTGGAATCTTATGGCATTGGGCATGTACGAAAAAGTCCCCACAGGAAGAGGAGGGAAGTGGAGGAAGTGTATGGATAGTTAGATAAAGTATGGAAACTGTCATAAAATAGCATCCCATCCCGCCCCCTCCACACATGCACAGAGCAAGCGAGCAATCACAAACATTTGTACATACAGTGTTGACTCTATTGCTGCCTGAGCACCTCTGACGGCAGGGTTTTTCTCTGCACTCAAGGCGCCTGCACACTGGATGTTCTGTAGGGCTGCACAAAAATGGGGATTGATTTCTATTTGGATAAAGGTAACGTGATTAAACCTGAAATTGGCTCTGCATGTGTCATGGTTTGTTTGGGATTAGAATAACCAAAGAATAGAACTTCCTGCCCATCTGTGAAGAGCTTTAGAGATCAGAATTAACGTGGGGAATCCCTGGGAGCGTATGGAATGATCTAGTAAATGAGCAAGCATGCTTTTGCTTACCGTGTCTGTGCCTGTGGGCCTGCAACCCTCCTGGACTCAGCGAGCCTGTGAGCAGAGCGCCTAGCTGACCTTCGACAGTGTGACCTGTCGCGCTTCCTCACTCTTGTAGCTCCTGGAATGCTCTGTGGCTCAGCACCACTCGTTTTGGCTCCGTAATTCAGCTCCCAGTTTTCCAATAGTTACTTTAATTTATGACACGGTTTGGACACACTTGCTGGCCATGACCTTGGCCCTCACTCCAGAATATTATTTTAAGCATTTATCCTCTAGCTCTCCCATTGCAACCACTGGCAGGAGGTGCTCCATCCTATCATGGTCCCATGTCCCAGGCCCAGAGGGACAAAGGCCAGGGCAAACCTATTCCAGTTCCCGCCCCCAGCTCCCAACCAGGTAAGAGGCTCACCTGGGAATGGGGCAGAGATGAAGTTGGCTAAGTTTTTCTGCTGTGCGTCCTACTTTTACAACGATGTGCCAAATACTTTTCTTCTGGCAGCACTGAAGGTCGCTGTACTCCTCCTGCAAAGAGATTTGGTCTCGCTTAGGTTTTACTTTTGGTAAACATACACATGTAGCAACTTGAGACGATGCACAAAACTGCCTGAGATGTGCCAGTGGGTATGCTTGGATCACAAATTTACCCAAAATAAAGAAGCACTCTTAAAGAAAGAGGGCCAGTGGGTTAGGTATTTACCCCAGAGCAGTAAGGTTCAACCCAGTCTTGAAGACCATGATGGATGGACATATCCCATGATGAGAAGTGAGAACTAAATGGAGATACATTCCCAGTAGACAGTACCCACATAAGCTAACGCAGAGAAGACGGGTCTAGAGGACACACTGAAGTAACTGAAGTACGCGATGTAAGTCCCCGTCACAGGGTCACAAATAATTCCATATGATGGGTACAGCCATTGCCAAACAGAACAGGTTCCATAGCAGACAAGAGTCCCCAGAGAAAACTGTTCAGGAATGGAAAAGCTCTGCACATAGACCTAAATGGAATAGGTAGGACATTTAAACTAGTGTAGCATCAACGAATCTATATTCGTGTTGTTGTTCTGTTGTTTCTTTAGGTGACACTCTAAAACATAGTCAACTATGTGTACATTATAAATAATGCATTTTGTAATTTACATTTTTCTAATTGAAAACATTTCAGTGATAGCCCCAAGTAAATTGCATGCATGATTTTACAGGAGATGAATAAAATTTTAACTAAGAATAAACTCTGAAATAGTGCCACTTCCTAACAAAATAGAATGAGAGTGTGGTTTTAATCCTTGGTTCTGTACTTGCATAAGATTATAAACTGAAACAGTTTAGGGTACAGGTGCTGACCGAATGCAGAGAGAGAACTAGAATAACTTAATTCACCTTTTCTTGGTATAGCACTTTAAACTCTTAAAGACACCTTTAAATCTATTCTGTAATTTGTTCCTCACATCAATCATATACGGCAGGAGTAGGTTTCGTTTGTCCCACTTGACAGAGAATGTTACCATTAGCCTAAGGTGACCTTTGCTAGAGAGGCGCAGAAAGAAGGCCACGGCGTGGGCCAGCCCTCTGCTTTTGGGTGGGCATTTATTGCTCGGATGGCCTCAGACCTTTCCTCATTTCTGGGGACATCACCTCCCTTCTTGGAGAAAACTGTTCCTCTCTCATCGTAACATCTGGTTCAAGTAGGGCTACCAATGACTTGCTCCCATCCAGGGACCCTGACTCGACCTGAGCAGACTAGTCTTTTTCTGGGCCTTTTCAATTGGCATCAGGCTTGGGGCAAGGAGGTGGGTGATTTTAGTCAAGTTTTTTTTTTTCTTCTTATAGCAAAATTGTGAGGTGTGGGGTGCAGGAGTTGCTGGTGTCGGTGTGTCCAGTCATGTGCAGGAAGTTTGAGAAAATAAAAACAATACGCAGTGATAAAAGAGAACGTCTTGTTAACATTTGAAGTTCTGGCTCCAGTGGTTTTTGAGGCTCAGTTGCTTTTTTCCATGGTTCCTTGAGACTTTCAATAAACACTTTTTTCTTTCTCTTAAACTATTTCAAGTTGAGTTTGTCTTCCTTAAACAAGACAAAGGAGTCATAACGAATATATCTGTCCTCAATGTTACACTGCAATATCACTTCTATCCCCATGAGTATTATAATCCCACTTCAGACATGAGTAAATAAGGCACAGAAAGTTAAATAAGTTGACCCAAATCTTATATTGAGTTATTGGTATAATTATGTCACTCATCACTACATGTTATTAGGACCCTATACACATAATTAATAAAGTTTCACATACACTACCTCCTTTGATTTCTATGACAAGCCCTTGAAATGGATTTGACAAGCATTGGTAGCCCTAATTACAGATGAGAAAATTGAGGTTCAGAGACAGTAGGTGACTTCCCTATTGTCAAACAAGCAGTAAGTGATGGGACAGAGCTTGGACTCATGCTTCCGACATAACATCCAACACTCCATCTAACCACACCTCCTTGTACATCTGTGCATACATACAAATGTACATCAACATGTATTCACACAAACGTTCATTTCTATTAAAAATGAAAATCGAATTCAGCAAAATAACTGTCCTCAGGATTATTTTTAAAAAGTGTTTTAAGATATTGCTGCCCCTAATTATTTTTACTTTTGTTTCCTGCCAAAACATTGGTTTAGGAACCACCTAATCTTCTGTAGATCTAACTGGGATAAAATATTTTCCATTATATTGAGACTTGATAAAATATAAATAGCTTGTACTTTGTCTCTCTTGGTTTTGATACCTAATGAAATGTGAAAAAGCAACATGACACATAAAAGAAAAACAAAAGATAACTAATTCAGAGATTATCTTTGGAAAAGCTCCAAAATCAGATCATGTAATTAGTTCACAGTTTAGAAGCCTTTGGTGGAAACAGATTTATGCAAACAAATTCCATTCACATAGTTTAGGAAGACTGAAAGATTCTGTAGATGAATTACGCTTAAAATTGAGGATTACATAAGTCTTATTCCTCATTTTCTCTATCAACTGGTTTTAACAATCAAGAAAACCCAACAATGTGTGCTACATTGTTCACTGGAAAAATCGGTGGTGGACACCAAAATGGTGGAAAGAAGGCTGTAAAAAAGCTAAATGACAGCAACTGTTTAAAAGGCATAAACATTCCTTGAAGGCAAGTAGCCAAGGCTGGTAGGCTCCAAATTTGATCTGCCCTGGTTTTCATGTCTTTGTGCAATACTGTACAGGGGTGAAATGAGTAAAAGGCTAGACTGGATTACTGGTTTTTAAGTTGTATTTTTGTTGTTGTTGTTGTTTTAAGAAATTTAACATACAAAAGAGTCAACGGTGGAATTGCTGTCATTGGAGGAGTCAGGGAAGGAAACACAGAAGCCTGGGGCTCTTTGATAGCCACTGGCCAAGACAAACTCTGGAGGTTTCCCGCCTGAAGCATTTGTGACTCAATATTAGCTGCATTGAACCATATGCTTAAATATTGATTACAGTAATATGATCATAACCTAAAACATTACCCAATAGGAGTTCTTGCTTAGATTATGAAAATTCAGATTGAAGATTCAACTATGTAGATAACTCAATGACTAACCAATATAAACAAACCATGCAATTAAGGCAACTTGAATATTAAAAAGAAAGTGTTTGCTTTTTTTTCACCAGTTGACTGGTTGTTGTCTATATGGACAAAATAACATGATTATTTGATTGTGTGAATACTTCTTGGACAGTAAACCAGCTGTTTACAAACCAGCTATTTTCAAACGAATAGGGACATGAACACACTGTCAGAGAACAGGGGAAGGCAGGTCAGGGAAAGTTTGAATTTGGCATTTAGCCAGAAAACTTTTAAATTCAATTTGGATTTGGGCTCAGCTGTGACACATGTGTCTCAGTGTAGAGCAATAACAGTTTTAGGTTGGAAAAATTTCACGATGTGTAACAGCAGCCACTCCCAGTGATTCCATGAAAACAGCTGGGGGCTGGTCTGCCAGTTCATATCATGTTTGAAAACTAGGAGTAAACATTCTGAAATCGGCAGTATTTTTAAACTTTGCAATGAGTTGGGTGAAAGTTTCAAGGATCAAGTATTTGAAAATGTTTGAGAAACAAAAATCATATGATGAGATAAACCCTTGTGAAAAATGAGACGGAATGCAAAACTGTCGTTTTTAATATTTCAGTTCTGAGTTAAGACTTCATATAGATAGTTCCATTTATTCCTTGCTGTTTTCATACAAATTCAGATCAGTTCTGGTTTGAGAAAAGATGATGTTCTGCAATGCTTTTCTATTTGCATGAAACCTCATGGTAATGAAGTTGCACTAGAAAAAACAGAGGTTTATCTAAGAGGAGATCCGCAAGTTTTGGAGAGTGGAAATGTTAAGTGTTGCCTATCTTTTGTGTGTATTTTGTTGTATTTCAAAAAGCAAATAAGAAATTATAAACTTTTCAGAGATATATATATACATTTGAATTAAATAAAACAAATTTTGTCTACAGTTCTCAAAACATAACCATTTCACTGGCATTTTGCATGTTTTGTTTTGATGTCAGGAAAGGCTCTATCTTAAGAGTATCTGCACATAGGTTTTCCACACTTCCTTGGACTCGAGCATATCTGTGACATTGGAGTAGTTTCGATGAAGTTCCTAGAAAAGACCCTCAATCAATGGACATCAAAGGAGCTCAATGACCACAGACAAACTTTTTATCTTAACAAATTTTATTGCTGATTTCTTATTACATAATTAACTCATGCTTATCATAGAAAATATAGCTAAGCAAAAATAATAAAATTAAATTAAATAAATAATAGTAAAATAACAGTTCTTTCTTTTAAATCCTCCTGATTACAAATGATAATATTGCTGTATCTTTGCCCATCTATGATTATTTATACAAAATAAATTCCGAGAAGTAAAATGTAGCCCAAAGCCATACAAAATTATAAATCTTTTGATATATGTCATCAAACTGTCTTGCAGAAATCTTTTATCAACTTCTAGTATTGTCATTAGTGTATGGGAATGTCTTCTTCCTTGCTTAGTTTACAGTCTATTATATCATTAAGATATAGTTTCCAATTTTAGAGGTAAAAAAATAGTTTACTTTCCTGCACAAAGTTTTCACTGTGCAAAGTTCGTCTTCAGCTTCCTCTACCCTCATAGACATCTCCTTTATGTGCTAGTTTCCCCCCGCCACCGCAAACATGTATCTTAGCTTCTCAGGGAACCTTGTTCTAGCACATTCTAGTGTGTTCCTCTGCAGGACACTGTTGCAAAGCTCTGATCTTTTCCTCCCTTTGAGTATTTTGTGTTTTAAAATACAGTATTTTTTTTTCTCTCTCTGCTAAGGTTAATCCAATACACTAATTTCAGTCAGAGCTTAACTACTGATGACATCATCCCAGAAAACATACATGTTTTTTAGAGGCTTATAACTAATAGGAGTTCTAAGAAGTAAAGTACACTGGTGAGGAACAATGTATTTTCAGTCAAGGGAAATCTTTCTTGGAGACCATCTTACTCCATGTAGATCATGGCCTTCTATTGTGACCTATATAAAAGACCAGTCCTACTGCTTCCTGTCACAGTCAAAGTGTAAGCTGCCAGTCTCAGCCTAGACATGGTGATGGGTGTGAGGTGGCTCCTTCACACTAGGCATACTTAGAGGGAGAGCACAGCCTCCAGCAGCTTGAAGTATGGGACAAAAAATGGGCTTGAGTAACATACCATCAATAGGGATAATACTTCTGTTTACGTATATTTATTTATTTATGCATACATTGATGACTAAACTTATGTGTATATTTAATTTTTTTGATCAAAGCCATCCAACATTCATTTAAAAACATTTACTGAATACTTACACTGATTTCCCAAGTTTTCTACAAAATGCCCTTCTGAAATACCTTCCAAGCAATGCTTTTTTTTTTTAGGGAGAATTTGGAACAATTTTGTGAATCTTTCACTAAATATTTCTTTAAAACCTAGATACAGTTTTCTTTAAACTTAGAAATAGCCAAGTGCCTATTCATTCAGACAAGTAAGTAATAAACCACTGTGAAATAATGCTGGGCTAATACAATTCCTTGTCCGTCTGTCAGATGAAAGACTGTTAACAATTTGTTTGCACATTTTATCTTAGTTTTCATTGATGAAACTGATTTAAACACACCCTGGCTGTAAGCTAAGAATATGTAATGCTTAGATTATAATGATAGTTACATAAATAGACTAGAGTCAATTATTATTTGGACTTCAAATAAGAAAGAATCAAGGAACCAGATTTATTTACTTTTTGGGGTGGAAAGTAGGAGAGCATGTTCTGTATTTTACTCTAATGGGAAAGAAACAAAAAAATATTAACAATCAACAACTAATTTTCAGTTTGTCACAAAATGTGTAGGGAAACCTTCTACGTGTTGACAGGTAAGTTGGAGGCTTCCTTTCTGCTTTCCCTCCCTTCAGCTAGAGCAGCAGTTTGGGCCGTGTGGGGTCTGAGGTAGGATTTCTCAGCCTTTTTGGCACCCTATGAAGATAGGTGACGAGAGCTAGGCTAAGTGATTTCTTGAATCCAGCAAGAATTTTCGAAAATAACAAATACAACCTTAATCTTTTTGTATATTACGACAAACAAATGAAAATAAATACCAATGGAGGGGTAATATTTTTTAAAAAAGAAAAAAAAGTACACTTTTAAACCTAATATCCTGATGCACAAATATTAAAGATAATTACAGAGCCACCTCACCCTTTCTGAGCAGGGACTTGACCGACTACTCTGGCATTCTGTGTTCACTGGAGAACAGAAGGGAAGGGAAGATGATTAAAGGTTGGAAAGATGACTGTTTCTGGCTGTGTGATATTAAGGCCATTAATATGTCTGCATTTCAGTTCCAGTGTGCTAATATATTATTCTATCTATTAAAATATCATAAAGATTACCTATAATTAAAGATGATTTACAGTCTAAGCCATAACTAGATATAATTTCATGCAAACACATTTAGGGTGAATTCACTTTAAAGTGGATTTAGCTAGCCTAATGAAAACAGTGTCTACGAGGCCCTGAAAAGACAGAGAAAAAAAAAACACTATATACTGGCAGTACAATAAAAATCCTGACATCCTTTTACAGATTCATACCCAAATAATCTATATTGAAGGAACATGTATAAAGGGATTGCTTAAAAGGAAATGTTGGTTAGTTCTGTTTTCTAATAAACGATTTATTTCCAATATTGAAACCCTGTCCCTAATTTTCTTCACCACTGGGAAGAGCCAGGCCAGCCAGTTCTCATTTTACAATCAGCATGTTTTATTTCATAGTTGTACTGACTTGAAACAACAGTTACATTTGCAACTCCAGAAAGCAAAGATGAAACTTTGTTCTTGCTTTTGTGTTGAGCTGTACAATTTATTTCTCTCCTGGCAACAGATTTGAAATTTCTCTTCCTCCCCCTCTCTCTTTTCTTCCTTTTCATGGGAACTGTTAGGTGAGCACCGACAAAGCGCTGTGTGTGTGTGTTTTTTTTCCCTTTGCCTGGTTTCTGTGTCGGTGTGTGCAGGCACGCATTCATTAACGTTAATTCCTCAACATCCAACAAGAGCGCATCATAAACCCGGGAGAAAAAGCCTCATAAATATTTACATGCTCCTTCTACCTTCCAAACTAGAGTGAAAAACCTTATTTAGAGACGAGTTGGTCTGGGTTAATCTGCATGTGAATCGAGCAGGGGGACAAAAGGATGAAAAGGTGATGGGCACTCGAATACAAACCCTATGGTCTCCAGGGGGTCATTCATCTTGTTCTTGTCAATACCGTCTCGGGCTTGGCTTTTTTCTGCGCATGAGCAAACAGAGCAGTTTTCCAAAGACAGCTGGCAACGGATGTGGATGCTTTGTTCTATCTTGTAGTTTTATAAGAAATGAAATTGCTTTACACTTCATATTTGACTGACTTCATTCTTCTTAGTTGCTGCTATCCATATGGATGATGCATCTATATGTAGTGATGTGTACAAATATACAAGAAAGGTACCAAGATTTTTTTTTATTGTGGCAAAATATACATAAAACTGATCATTTTAACCATTTTTAAGTGTACAGTTCAGTGGCGTTAACTACAGTCACAATGTTGTGTAACCGTCACCATTATGTTTCCAGAATTTTTTCATCATCCCAAACAGAAGTTCTGTACACATTAAACAATAACTCCTGACTCTCCCCTCCCCCAGCATGAAGAAGATCTGAAAAAACTCCATTCCTAGAGACTCTCCATGGAGTCACAACTCTCGGCACTTGATTTTAGAGGGGTTCGGTGTTCGGAGCAAGGGAGAGTAATGGAGGGTAAAGATAAAGAAATGAGATAAAGCCAGAAAAGTCTTTGCTCCTAAGTGAGAGCTAATGAACTCAAAGACTGGAAATGAATACCTGGGTATCATATGGCCAGTCTGATTTTCACCAGAAGGAAAGGAAATGAGACTGAAAAGTTTAGCAGCATTTGAAAATTCTCCATTTTTATAAGGAATTGGTTTACCCAAGTAAGAATTTCAAAATAAAATTCAAAGAGAAAAGCCTTGTAATACCTGATATTATTTGAGACGGCACAAGTGGATTACATATTTTACAGAACTATTCCACCAAATATTGGGAGATACACTGTACTTGACTAAGAGACTGAAGTGAAGGCAGGGAGGATAACCTATATAATTAAGTATAAAAATTAACTCATATTGTTATTTCCCATTTTGCAAATCTCTGGGGTTGCAACTATATTGCTTTAAATGAAAAACATATTGAAGTATTATTGCTCAAATTCCATTATAAGGCAATATATTCTAGAGGAAATTTGCAAAAATTTCCCAACCCCCAAATTCACCACTCACTTTAAGAAATCTTTAATAAAAGTTCAGTACAGTTAAAAATAAAATGCGGGCAGTCCTATTGAGTTTGTTTTAATAGGATCTTGTTTTTGTACCACATACAGCATATACAGCTTGTTTTGTAGCATATCCCTCCCTAAGAATGAGTATTATCAGTTGAGACCACCTGTGAGTGACTAATACTCTTCTTTCTTCAGTGGAAGTCATGCATCTTACTGCCACTGATTATTTAAGGAATTTTAATATTTTATATAATGTGAAGGTAGGATTATCAAGATGGCTTTCAGGGCAGGTGTTGGGGGAGGGGAGAGTGTGTGCAGAGCCAGAGGCCCAAGGGAACTCTGGGAAGGGGCAGAGCTGGTAAACTGGGAATGTGCAGATCCAGATAATGGGGAAACCTGCTCTAATTACCTTAACCAAAAAGGAGGTTCACTGACCAAGGCAATTGGGAAATATGAATCAGACGTTAATGAATGCAGGAGTTGAATGTCGTAAGGAAATGTTCTTCCATATTGGGTCTGCTCTCCTCCATGTTGGCTTCTTTCTTTGGCAAACTCTTCCCATGTGGTAATTACCACCATGGCCACTATATCCCTAAAATATCTTCCTCCTCTGACGCCAGCAATCCCACTAAAAAAAAGAGATCCCTGTTTTCCTGAAGTTTCAGGGGAGTGATGGCAATAATTGATTAGTCTGCCTTAGGTCAGGTGGGTATCCTGAAAGGGTGTGGAGTCCTGTGTGCATGCCTGCTGATGGTGGTGGAGGTGTTAAGCCAGACTAAAATCACACTAGATTTCCCACAAAACAAGAGAAGGTCTTCATGGAAAGAAGGAGGAGGAAGGGGAAACACGCTGGGTAGAGAACTATAGCTCTCACAGTTCACTACAAAATTGACCCTTCATTGAGCTCAGTGTACATGAGTTGTATTGGTAAGGGTGGGCTGGGCTGCTAGCCACACACATACTAGTTCAAATACAATAAAAGTGAGTTTCCTATGTAGGTAACAGAACTGTGCAGGTGAAGAGGTCTGCAAAATGGCCTTTCTCCAGGCAGTCATCTTCAACAAGTCTCCATTCTAGCTGGGCCCAGTGGGACAGACAATGCTGGAGGACATTGGGAGGCTTTTATGGATCGGCCCTGGAAGGGGTACACATTACTTCAGCTCATATTCTATCAACTAGAACTCAGTCACATGGCCACACCTAATTTCAGGAGAGGTGGGAAATGTAGATTAGCTGTCTGCCCCAGAAGAAGAGGAAATACATTTTGGTGAACTGCTATCAATCTTTGCCTCATCAGTCTCTACTATTCTGCCAATGGGTCCAAAACTAGAAGCACTTGTGGTGGCATAATAATAGCAGTTATTGAGTTCTTACTATGTGCCAGGGGCTGTTTGAAGGGCTTTGCATATATCAATTCACATAGTCCTCTCATCAACCTGTGAGGTGGGATGAGTATCCTCATTGGAAGATGAAGAAACAGAGGCATAGAGAGGTTACTTAACTTGCCCAACGTTGTGAAACCAGAAATTGTTGGAGCCAGGATTTGTCATAAGACAGGTTGACCACACAGGGTTGGGGAGACGAACTGAGACGATGTTTGAAAAGGCCTAGGTCGTGCTGGGCACATGGGAAACACAATCAGTGGAAGTCGGATTATTAATCTATTCCTCAGGTTAAGCACAGCATCTCAGATGGAGGCTCATCTGGAGGCCTAGCTTGAGGCTGACAAATGGGTGTCCACAGACACAGGCTCCAGAAAAGGCTTTTTCTTCCTGAGTCTACCAGGTCACTGGAGAGTTGGGATCCGTTAATTAAATCCAGGCAATTGTTGAACCAGCCATGTTCATGTAAGGGCAGGACCAGCCTTCCCCACTGCCTGTACACATTATCTTCCCAAGCAGGAATGCCTTTCCACCGTGATCTGCACACCCTTCCCCTGTTCTTGTCCTCAGGTGGAGTTAGTTGCTCCTTATTCAACATTCCTGAAGGACTTCAAGCAGAATCCCTTTGAAAGCCAGCCCACTGCTTTGTAATTTTTGGTTTACTTGTTCCCTTTAGCATGCTGCAAATTTCTTTTCTTTTCTTTTCTTTTTTTTTTTTTGGTGAGGAAGACTAGCCCTGAGCCAACATCCGATACCAATCCTCCTCTTTTTGCTGAGGAAGACTGGCCCTGGGCTAACATTCGTGCCTATCTTCCTCTATTTTATATGGGACGCCACCACAGCATGGCTTGATAAGTGGTGCGTTGGTCCGCGCCCAGGATTGGAACTGGTGAACCCTGGGCCACCAAAGTGGAGCACGCGAACTTAACCACTACGCCACCAGGCCAGCCCGCCTTGCTGCAAATTTCTTGAAGGCAGAGCCCATTACTCACTTTGTATCCCCAGTGCCTCACATCGTGCATGACAGAGCAGGCCATTTAAAAGTGGTAACTGAGTGTTAATAGTAATTATAATAATAGCCAATATTTATTGACCAATTGCTACACTCCAGGCATATGCTAAGGGTTTTATAATCATTGCCTCATCTCATCCTCACAGTAACACTATAATGTGGGTATTATTAGTATCCCCATTTTGTAGCCGAGAAACCTGAGGATTGCTGAGATCAACCTGTCTGCCCACAGTTACAGCGGAGCCAGAGCTTTTCATCATCATATCATCTCACTGGGCCAGCTTTAATTCAATGACAGAGACCTACATCCTGTTCTATGCCAGAGCCATGAAGATGTCCAGGAGGAGCAGGGAAGCAAGTGCAAGATCACTGAAGAATGGGCCAGCAGGGAAGTCTCAGGTGTGGGAGGAGGGGCAGTAAGGATGGATCCCCAAGACCTCAAGCAGGAGATGCTCCATTACGGACCATGGTGGTAAAGTGAAGGTCAGAACAAGTAGCCTCAAGCCCAAAGGGGAAGCCTTGAAGGGGAAGGAGAAGGAACTCCTTTGTCAAAGGGTGAGAGATTGGGCCTGGACCCCCAGGAACGAGGGCGGCATTCTCCAGGAACAGAGAAGGTGCCCCCTGGGACCTCTACAGAAAAGATTAATAAGAATGTTGGGGAAATATTCACAATGGTTGACCAGATCTCCATTGAAATGTATAGGAGGTCAGGCTCCAGGAATCCCTGCTGGATTTTTCCAAGATTTTTAGCAACCTTGTAATTTTCCCAATGTTTGTACTTTTATACAACTCTATAGAAAGAACTCTGACCTTTCTATAACTAAAACTCCTTTGTCATTTTTCTAATTTGTGTTTATTTTGGAGGCAGCGGGGATGAGGAGGGGTTGAGGAAGCCGTGTGGGTCCTGCAGTGGGCCCACGGAGGAGAAACTGTGGGAGGAGCTTGGAAGGAGAAGTGAGTGGCCCAAATTGCTAGGAGCTGGTGAGGAGGAAGGGAAACAGGTGGGGTCGAGGGGCTGGGGGATGGCGGCTGGCCTGGGATGTAGGGGGTTGAGGGCGTTGACACAGTTCTTTGGATACTTCTACAACTGAATTCTGAGACCCAAGAATGATCTCTGTCATCAAGCATCTCATGTCAGCATTAGGGGGAAGCGAGTGTACGCACTTACCTCTACTACAAGTGCAGCTTAAATTAAATTAGGAAGGAAAGACTACAAGCTTTGCAAATCTCCTTTGTAGGAATCTGGGGATCAGCGACACTTGACGGCTGAAATCACTGGAGGCCTACCATTGCAAAGGCTGAACACTGGCTCCTGAACTATTTGGTTGAAACTGCTGGGCCATGGAAGCTTCTGGTAGCTGTGCAGATGAGGCCCAGGTAAAACAAACTGTGAGGTTTAATTAGCATGAAGATTTTCTCGCCAGATCCAGGGCCTCCTTTTGACTCTTAAAGAGGGAAAATAGATAGTGAATGACAGCACTGTTTAGTTTTGTGAAGTTAACCACTTATTTAATTCAATTCCAATTAAAAATAAATGACAGGTCCAAGGACCCTTTTATTTTTTCTTTTCTGAAATACTTTCTAATAGTTTTCTATGCTTAACATTATACAGAAACCAGGATCTTTGCTTCAGCAATACAGATCTTGCAAACAATTTCAAAAGGAGCACAGAATCTTAAAGCTCTCTTGAGCCACCTCGAACCAACCTTAAGATATATAGAAGGCTAAAGCCACATAAACACGATGGGGTTGAGACACAGATGAGCTAAAATTGAGCTAGCAGGCAAGGAGTAGTATTTTTGTGTTTAGAACTTGAAAAATAAAACTATTAAGCTCATTTCCTAGCATATTTGCCTTTTGGAAATTTTTTTCTTGTGTTCTTTTCTTCCTCATGCAATTTCCCTTTACTTCCTTTACTAGAATGACGTCGTTAATGACTGCTGTACAAAGTTTCGACTACTGAATACAGTGTCAAGTAAAGGATAAACAACAATGATAAATTTTATATGTTCAGTATTTTTTAAAAAGCTATATTAAGATGCCAGCAAAGTTTCCCATTCAGGAAGTTCGAAGATAGACATTAAGAACTAGGTTATGGGATGTACACATCACACTGCTAATATGCACACATTATGTTATGAATAAAAAATTCTATCACATCACAGCAGCAAGTTTTGAGATTAAAGTAATCCGTATTGCCTCCAGGACTCTGCGTGGAGAGGCTGCTGGGCTGGTAGGAAATGACCTTCTGACCAAGAGAGAATGGGAGGAGGCAGAGGCAGTGAGGAGAGTTCTTGAACTTGAGACCGCATGGGGGAGGGGAAACACCAAGAGGGAGGGCCAAGCCCTGAGCTCAGATTTGTGTCACTCACAGGACAGCTCAATGATATGACCAAGATTTTGCCTTGGGAAAATCTGGTGTGAAAATAGGAGATTTAAGTTTTTTGCTATGGTCTATAGCATTACCCTCACTTAGTGCATAATTGTTGCATACAAGTTACAATAAACCAGTTCCGTAAAAAGAGAGATTGAGTGGAAAATTCTCATCAAGCCCTTCTAATGTCAGAGATTCAATGATAGTTCAGACTGAATCCGCTCCCCCCCGGATCTAGCAATAATGTGCCGCACTCTTGGTAACAAGAAAACACATGATGCAAATGTAAATTTTGTTCAACATTAGTATTATAACGAGTATGTGATTCACTGTGAAGCCAGACTCATAATTATAAAACTGTTTATTTGAAGATTCTTTTTCCCTTTCAGCTACCTTGATTTAATTGTGTGTCTCGGCCTTCATTTTGAAATGATGCTCTGAAAACCACTTTGATACCTTGAAAACCACTGAGAGAAAATTTTGGCTCCACTGGCAAATTTTCTGGACGCTATATGTGTGGCATGGGGGCCAGGAATGGTGACAGATCCTGGGGCAATGGAAATCCTGGTCTCAGTGATCTGGTCTTGCTGAAGCTGGGACTTCTGGGGGTTCACTTGGAGAGATCAAGTTCACCTCAGGGAAGGCCCTGGGGATCTAGAGCTGTCACTGTCTGCTTGTTGCTTCATATGTGATCTCATGAAACTGACCTGCAGAAGCCACTTGTGAGTGTAGTACATTTGTCTCCTCCCACCCCACTCAGAGATTTTAATTTCCTCAAAACATGAGCAATTTCTTCCCATGGTATCTGATTTAAAAAGGGGGGCGCTCATTGCTTTGCTTACCAAATGTCTGTTGAGATATGGAGAGAGCATGGTTGTGCTGAGCGGGCAGCTGGGGCAGGCACCCCTACTCCTTCCCTCACCTGTGTGTGCTGGCTGTAGCTGCCCCTGCCAGGGACTGGAAGAAGCCCTTGAATCGGCATAATGCAGCCCAACAGTTGCTTGGACATCACATTTCAAACCCTGGGTCAGCCCATGACTGCCAGTTTTCCAACAGAATAACGGGATCAATGCAGTTGTCGTGGGAGCTCCTGCAAGCCTGGGAGGGCGGGTGCCTGTCCACCCCGGTCCTGGACCTTCCAGAGGATGTGATCTTCTGAGGTCCTTCAGCTATCTTCCAGCTCAGTCGTTCACAGGGCCAGAATGGGGGGAGGCAGTCTCTCCTTGTCCACACTTGCCCCACGGCTATAGAGTTGCTTCTACTGCCTGGCAGCTGAAAACTGGGTCTTGAAGAGCGTGGAGGCCCTGGGCCAGCTTTGGATCAACCGTTGTTGCTGCTGACAACACAGCCAGCCTGGGATCAAGGCTCCTTTTCATCAAGTTATTTATCCTTTTACTTCCTAGTGTCAGCAGTCCTGGGAACAGGAAATGGTTTGTGCAATAGGAAGTGGCAGGAAACTGATGACTAACTACTTTAGAGCTTTGTGGATACAATATCAACGTAAATAAGATATACACATTCGAAAACATATGTGCATTGAAAAATATGAGCTATCTCCAGGCCTTACTCTTTTCAGTTTTTAAAACAACACTGTTTACTGAAAGCTTACTAAGTGCCAGGGGTTTTGCTAGGCACTTCATGTTATTCACTCCATAATCCTGACAACATTCTTAGGTTGCATTATCCTATCTTACAGGTGAGAAGAAAGAGGCATAGGTAGTTTACGTAGCTTCTGGTAAGAGGCAGGGCCAAGATATGAACCCAAGACTTCCTTGGCTGCTGCCTTGTGCTCAGCTGCCTCCTCCAAGCACCAGAAAACTCTTCAGGATGAATGTTTTAGGACTTTGTTTCATTGTGTGGGTTTAAAGGTAATTCATCTACATATCTGTGAGAAAAGCATTTCTATGGCTTGGCAGGTGGTTATGTAGTGGGGCTAAGGTCTTATTATTTCACATTTTCACAGTGCAGATGGAAGTACTTATTAGACACCAGTTGTCTGAGCCTAGAGATGAAAGGCCTCCTTCCCCCACCAGGCTCAGTGCTGAGCCAGCCACTACTGTCCCCACTTAGTGTCTGCTCCCTGGCCCCACACAGAGTGACAGGGCCTGGTTGGGGCCGTTTGATTAAGTGAAAGCGTGTCTTCACGAAATCAGGCACCGGATAAGCTGAAATGTTGAAACCTGGTCAGCTGAGGGAGAGGAGAAAGCCAAGTCTGGCTATTGGTCCCCAGAGGTTAAGGAACCTCACACATAGAAGGGCCTGCTGCCTCTGCCCACCCACAGCCAGGCAGCCGGAGAGGAAGCTGGTACTGGAGGGGGAGCAGGATATCGCTGGCATGTCAGCCGATGGGGCAGTTTACAGGACTTTCTTTGAACTCCATGAACCCAAGCCTTTTTTCTCTTTCCTCATTTCACAATTTAACATGTTAGTGTTCTTGATTCCCTCCTCACACTTTTTCTGCTCCTTTAATAGCTTTACTTGGACAGAGAAATGATACTAGCATGAGGAAAGCCCTATCCCACCGTTGGTGACAGTTGCTGCATGCAATTTCCCACCACTACTTAATTCCAGCCTCACACTACAAATATAGGGCACCCGTTTTAGAACTGTTAAACAAAAAGTGTTACTCATTTCACTATGCTACGTTTTATTTCCATCTACAAAATGATGCTTACTACCAATGGATATTGAGAAAAACACCGCATAATTCATGCCAGTTAATCAAGTTGGTGGCCCTAGAAGATCTATAAAATGTAACTGTAACACATTGCTACAGAAGGGCTTGGACTGAATAATCAGGAAATAGTAAATGCTGGCATAATCAGAATTACTTGTGCAGTTCAGCAAGGAAACGTGAACGGCTGTGTAGGACTGGGGAGAGAAGAGAACAGAAGTACTTCTTTGGTGTGATATATAAAAAATTTACCATAAGGAGGATGATTAATCATTTTCCAGCTCTGGTCACAACCTGCTTATTAAAACATTATTTGTTGGAAAATAGAAAGTAAAACTGAAGGCTTTGGTATTTTATTGTAAGCAGGTAGACATGATTTTCATAAATCGTCTTTCTAAATTTGGATATTTTCCCAAAGAACCTATACATATTTTAGACAAAAAATTATCCATTTTAGTTGCAGTTAGTATAAACTAGTAAAATCACGTTTAATGGACGTGGAGATATGAAATAAACAACTTTCTAAATTTGTAAATAAGCTGACACAAATAGAGGAAATATTCAAAATGTTTTTAGCAATTGGTATGTCAGGGGCTCAATAAATGACCCCAGTGGCTGCCAGCCCAGGTGGGAGCAGGGCGCCAGGCATCATGCCTTAGGTTGCTGGATCGGGGGGTTCTGGGGGCTCTGCGAGAAGGCTGGGAAGTGTCAGTAACAGCGGTGACTGTGCCCTGTGACTGGTGTGAAATAGTTCAAAATTTAAAAACTGATAAAGCTGTACTGGTGTGTACTGGTTGAACATCAGTGCTGCGAATAATTGCTTTTCATCTTATATATAAATAGGTAATAAAGTAATTCTGATAAAAATCTCATTGTTACATAAGCTGCTTTACTATTAACACAAGAGATACTCATTTTCTAACTTGTTGGCGATTCAGGGGACTAGGGATGCTCTGACCCCGTCGCCACAAATGGTATGTTTCTTGCGGACTGAGACATATCCAAAATACTTCCCAGCAATCAATGAATCATGCTGAAAAAAACTGTTCCCACGGTGACAGGCCCTGAGGCCCCTCCCTCCCCTTCTGTTTTCTCTATGTCACTGAAGGCAAAGAGACCTTTTGGATTTTTCAGACGCTACGATTAACTCAGGTAAGTATTCTGAGCTATGAGCAGCTTACACAGCTGCTTGCCCTCCCAAGAGCCCAAGTATGTCTATGTGTTTCTTTCGTTTTTTCTTTCATTCATTCAAACAAGTAATTATTGAAAGTAGACTACTTGTAAAGCATTTAAAGAGCAGAAAGAGGAACAGGCCTGGATTCTACCCTCCAGGAATTTTTCTGCTTTCCTAGTGTAAGTTTCTCCAGTAGGAGCTCTAGATGCAATTTTTTTAGTGCTCCACTTTTTATTAAGTTGTAATATGTTACAAATAAAATAAAAAAGAAGATTTGGTTTTAACCCATTGGAAATTATAAAAATGTAAGATTTCCAGTCAAATGTATTGTATTGCTTAAGGGAGACAAAAATCCTTAAGTATAATTTTTTTTATTTCAATAAGGAGTACAAAATTGGACACCTGAGATTTTTAAATACATTTCTTATTGCCATTACACAACCACCCATCTATACACAGGGTTCTCCTAGGCCCAGAAATTAAATTAAAATAAAGTCAATTTGCTGTTATAAATGAGAACATTTTATTCAGAATCACAGAATTTCAGAACTTGGAAAGACTTCCAAGATCACTTAGTGCAAATTTCAGAGAGACTGTTACTTAGTGTTGCACAGTCATTAGGATAGAATTAAGGCCTTTTTATACCCTGCACAGCAATCTTTTCTCTATATGACACCAGCAGTATTTCAATTAGACATAAGAGCATAATGTTTGAAAAGATTCAACATCACCGTTGGTTAGACTATTGAAAAAATAAAGACTCAAAGATGACAGTATTTTAGTCATTAAAAGACTTAGCTCTTGGGGGACCCAGATTTAACCTACAGAAGGGCCAGCAGTGTGCTGTAAATCACTCAGGAGTTGGAAGTTCTGGTTTGAGTGTTGTCTCCAGCATTTACTAGCTGTGTCAGAAGAGTCACCTCACTTAGTTAACTCTCCAAGTCTTGGCTTCTTCACTATAAAATGGGGATAATAATTAACTCAGAGCTGCTGTGTATTCAATGAGATAACAACTGAGAGACCTGACAGTTTGTAGGGACTCTATAATTGTTAGTCCTCTTTCTGTCTCCCTGGTCCCAATAGAAACTCTGTTTAGAAAGCATGAATATACAGAAATTACTGGAAAAATGCAACAGTTAGGCTATAAGCTAAATTTTAGTAAAAGATGATGGCATTTGATTAAATGTCTGAGACATGAGTAGGCACTTCCCTTGCTTGTAAAATGTTTACTGACATTAGTTATTTAAAACTAACGCAGAGATTATGAATCAAACCGTATCCGTTTAATATGTTAAAAAATCTAATCACAGATTCATCCTGAAGGAACCAGATCCTAAA